CCGCTTCCCCTAGTATAAATTCAAGTATTTTATTTACAGTATGCAACTATCCTTTGTCCTACTTCCTGTGAGATAGTTACGGTTACCCAAAGCAGTTTCAGCACCACCTTCTCCTGTCTAATGAGAATTATTCCAGAGACTGTCCTTGCTTTACTAGCCTCCCATGGAGCTGATTTTTTTTTAAAGAAAAGTTTAGTTGAAACAGCCAGATTGTTAGTTCTAATACTGAAAGGGATTTTTTGAGTTATCATTGTTTTTCCTTTCCCTCCTTTAAAGATAAGGGGTCATTAGAAGCATGGGCCTGTTGTCACACTAATGCCATCGGCCTCAGCCTAAAGGGCTGCCTGTATTTAAATAGATTGACAGCTTAACTTCCCTGCTGTTAAGTACCAAAATATTAACAGTTTCCAGCTGTTAAACTGTACTTTATCTTGTAAGTCTATATTTTTTGTAGGAGATAAGCAAAGTATCTTACCCCATATAGGAATTAGGAAAAATTACAGTTGACAGCAATGGATGAAGAACTGGCTTTGTATATTGACGCTAGACACAGACGACAGAACGATAATGAACTTTAAAGCTAGATTCCAAGGAGTCTTCAACTCTAACAAGTTCTGCTAAGGGGAAAATTTGAGTTTCCATCTTCAAGTAAAGTTAGCAAAACAATTGTTTTAGGATAAAGTACAATCAACTGTTTTGTCTTCCAAAGAAGACCTCGGTGTGAAGCTATGCCTGGAATTTAGGTTGGAATGGACACCATGCATTAAGGCACACCAGAGTGCAAAAGCACTGAGGAAAAAAAATCAGGTGTTACCCTGGCTTGCTGAAGACTTCCTATCCACAAATCCTTTTTAAAGTGAAAGTTAAATTTTCTACCATGAAACTTTCCTTTTCAGTATTTACCAAACTGGTTAACAGCAGCTCCTCTTAGGCTATGTGGTCCTATGTAGTTATGTGCCATGGTGAAAAGTAGGCTGCATCCACACCGGTGTATAGCTACACCGGTCAGGGAAAGGCTCTGGGGCAAGCAAGGCTTAAATGGCAGCTTTTCACTGCTTTGGGAAAAGACTAGCAGCAGGATACCGCTGCTAAAAATAGAACAGCAAGAGGAGGGAGGCACTATGCGGGCAAGTAGGGTACATATGCACTAGCTTTAGGCATGTCCTTTTTCTTTTCTTTTGAGTACATCATGTAGACTGCTATTTATACCACTGCTAGGGAGAAATGCAGCATATGTATGTTACATGTCACCAAAATGGGCAGGCAGTGTAGATATAGCCTTAGCAAGGAAAACACCCAGCTATGAAAGAAGGAAGATATGCTTGCGGCAGTTAATTGAGTTACATTGCTTGAAGCCACAATAGTTGGTTTAAGTGATGCTACATTCTGATTATTTTGCAAGGTAGAAGAAGAGCTGGATTTCTCTCCAGTAAAGGCATGCAACATGATGGTTAAACACTGCACATGAGGCACGTTTTACTCGAAGAGACACTAGCAAGCACTACATTTCTGCAGAAAAGTTGGAGGGCTGACAGATTAAAGACAGGAACAATATTTGTCCCCTAAAATACTTTCCTCCATGAAAATTAAGCATAGTATAGAGAGGGACAAAGGCTGTCATACATTGATATCAGAGGCAGAAGAGAGTCTCCTACTATCCTTACCTAAGAGGAAGGAAAGGAGAAATCTATATTCCCCAATTAGTTTCCTGCCCACTCTCCAGCATCCTAGACAACAGTAAAAGTGGTCTGCTACAGTCTTTCTGTTCAAGTGACAGGATAGGAACTTCTTGTTCCTATTGGCGCTATTAAGTGCTGACTGGAGAAAAGCTTTATACATTATTCCTTTAAAATCCCAATCCCACTCTTCTACTGTTTGAATAAAAGAGCTAGGATTTTACCAAACCAGAGAGCTGTGATTCCCCTAATCTATTCCTTTCCAAACTGTTTTTGGTAACAAAGTCATGCTATGGTGTGAGCTACGACGAGACCATTAAAACAAGCATAGTTTGGCACTCAGAGAAAAGGATGGTCTGACTCCTTTAGACCATACATTTCATATTTACAGTAAGATAACCGGTCCCTGTTTCGGACTTGGCACTCAGTAAAAGAGAGTCACCTCTCCAAACCCACTCCTTTCCCCCACCCCCAAAGAAATTCAAGCCATTTAAAAAGTGCTATAAAGATGAGGTGTCTGATTATGATCAGTGTTCTGGTACACTGACATACCTTTTTAAATAACTGGGTGTGCTTTCCCGACTGTAGTGAGGTTTCACCTTTGCACTATTTATATAGTGCATGGCATGTGCAAAGATAATGTGCTCAGTTCATTTAAAATTCAATACCATGACACAATGAACTTGGGGAACAGCCTACACAGATGAAAGACATGTTAACCTCATTTGACATTACAGCTAAGGATCTAAAGCACCGGACCACATAATCTAAGCTTAAACCCTGCAAATTGACCAAGTCTTAACTTTACAGAAGAAGCTGCAATCCAAACAGAAGGGGATGACAGACAGCAACAGTGTAACTTAAACCAGGACAAACATGAACAAAACAAAATTGAAGTACAACAAATCTGAGAACATTCTCGTAAATATCTGCATTTGGTTTACAAAGATGCAGATTAAAAAATTCTATTTAAAGTAATGTAGGTTAACTTCCGAGCTCTCTCTTAGGGTATGTCTACACTACCCTCCTAATTCGAACTAGGAGGGTAATATAGGTATACCGCACTTGCAAATGAAGCCCGGGATTTGAATTTCCCGGGCTTCATTTGCAGAAAGCCAGCCGGCGCCATTTTTAAATGCCAGCAGTTCGAACCCTGTGCCGTGCGGGGTTCGAACTGCCGGCATTTAAAAATGGCACCAGCCGGCTTCATGCAAATGAAGCCCGGGAAATTCAAATCCCGGGCTTCATTTGCAAGTGCGGTATGCCTACATTACCCTCCTAGTTCGAATTAGGAGGGTAGTGTAGACATACCCTTACTTAATATTGCCTTCAATAGATGCTACCTGCTACAAAATCTTTCCACATAAATTCTATTTAAATTACTTAGGGAGGTTGAAAAGTAAGGCAGGGCATCAAAGTGATCAGCTGAAGGAAAGAACAACTGATTATATCTGGGACATGTTGAATGTGAGTGAATGACCTCACTTCTTCTCAGCTAGTCCTAGACTGCTGCTGATACTCAAAGTTGCATTTCATTGGAAAAAAGCTAAGCAACACATGATCTGAAAGCCTCAGTTTTCTGGAAGTGGAATTTGTATTTGAATATACACTAGAGTCTGGAATAACTAGTCACAATGTTTACAAAATTATGGTAATTTTCTCCTTTCAAATCCAAAGGGCAAATCTGTTAGGAATTCCACACATGCAGAGTGCAAAATATCAGGGAGAATCTTCAGTACTCATTCCAATAATTCTGGAACATGCTAGTATACAGACAAGACCAAGTATTAGGTCCAGGACTGTGAATTATACATTTGACACTCTCCACTGACAGCATCACTTTGCAGGGTGCAGTGCTGATGCTATTTTGCTGTGGTTGCTAACGTCTTTTCTGTCACTTACCTGGACAAAGACACTGTCAGACTCACTCTTATGAGATATTTTCCTCTCACTACTATTAAGAGGAATTTGCTAGACTGTATCTCACACGGAGATTAACAATCCTTAACACTTGAGGGCTCTTGGGAATTGTACATCCTGTCTAGATTCCAAAGAAAACTCTGCCTTTAACTTGTTTTGGTTCCATAGCGTAAAACACCTCAGCAGTCTATTACTCACAAACTGGAGGTTTAGGAGTAAGGAAGAGTTCGTAATCCCATTGTATTATTCCTTTCAGAACAGGAGAGGGCATCTAGATTGACTGCAAGGAAGCTTCCTTTAACTTTTGTTAATAACAGTAGTAGAGTTGAGGTTTCATGCCTCGCAGTGGCTCTTCACTCTGCTTCTCCTCAGCATCCCCACTTACTAGAGCTTCAGAGGGTAAGTTGTCACCTGGGAGAACAAGCTGAGAAAAGTCATGTAGAAAATCCTCTTCGGAGGCAAGCAACAACTCGTTCCAGAAAGTGATATCCAGTTTCCCTGATGTGCCACCATATTCTTCAGGAAGGATCCTCTGTGGAAGGTTTTGATGTAGAGAATTCAAATCAGAGCCATGAAGAAAAAACTGAGGAAAAAAATCATAAAATACTTTAACAATGTATCAGACTATTTTTCAGCATGTAATTCAGCATTTTAAAACTGCAGCAAAACCAGCACATGACAGGGAGAGTCTATTTTGTTCTTTAAATAATTCTAAGGGGCACATTTCACTCTGTACACACAATTGCAAGCGACATCATTTTCATTTGCAAAGGACAGTGCACAACATTGTGCATGCAAGAGTAAAAGCCAGTTCGATACTCTTTTGAAAGTCTTGCTTTATAGGCAATCCAGCTAGTAAATAAATCACAACAATCAGACTTCCAGTTCAATTTCAGGCTACATCTACACTTAAAAAGAAAATTAATTTAAACTATGCCATTCCAGGTACACAAATAACATACCTTAAGTCGAGTTAATGCAAGCTCTACACTGTGGGTAGGGAGTGGGGAAGGAGAAAGTTGAAAGGAGAAACTCTCCCATTCTTGTCCATGGGAGAACGATCTGTGGTCTATTTGGCAGGTCTTAACTAGACCCGCTAAATCGACCACTGCTGGATTGATCTCAAAAGCGTTGATCTGGGCTGTAGTGTAGCTGTAGTCTGAGTAAGCCATTCACAAGGATTGGGAGTGCAAAGTAGGCAGCACCCAGCCCTTAATTGGGAGCGGTATTCTCTTCTGCATATGAAAGAGAAGAATCAATCAACTGCAGGGGGAACAGCATCCAAACCTGTTTAGCAGATGACAAGTCTCCCTAACCTTCAGCACATTCAAAGTAGTAACATTATGCAAGATAAAAGCCAGGAAATGATGACAGAGTCACAGGCAGATAGAGTAAGGACATTATGCCTTCACAACAGTTATCTGTTTCAATATTCTTTACATTTCACATCCAGCAGCGCTTGTCATGAAGTCCAGCATTAAAAAGTACAATCACTTACCCGGTTTGCTATCTTTTCCTTCAGGAAAGGCTTGATGATGGCAAAAATTCCTTTGAATATGCGAGGCTCATTTATAATATTGACAGCCTTTATTCTAACTGGAAAACCATCCTAAGGGAGAAAGATTTTTACAGTAGTTTGGTAGCTGTGGATAGCTTTTTCTATTTAATTTTCCTGTAATTGATTGCTAACACCACCCAATTGTTCCCAAGATTCTAGTTGCAATTTAAATGTAAATCCATGCAGTGAGCTGGAGTATATGGTGCAAGAATCAGACAAAAACAAGGTCTGGCACTCACGTAGAGCTTGACATCACTTCTGGATCAGATCATAGTAAATGAAATACCAATACAGGTTGAACCTCACTAGTCCAGCACCCTTGGGATCTGACCAGTGCCAAACCAAAGAATTTGCCAGACGATGCAAGGTCAATATTGTCTAGCAGCATTACCAACACTTCCACTGCTTACTGGGCTCTTAGATGGCATTTTGGGGTAAATAAGAGCTAAATAACAGCACAGAACCCAGAGCCAGAACTAGTGGCTGTAAACAAACTTTATGTGATTGCGGAAAACTTGGCCACACCCATGATAAGTGGACATCCAGTGAACTGAAATCATGCCAGACCATGGATGTTGCTGGACCAGAGAGTGCCTAACTAGAGAGGTTCAACCTGTAGTACATGCATTAAGTCACTACTTTTGGCCCAGGCTTCTTTTAAAAAAATATAATGTGTTTAATTTAAATAAGGAACAGCCCCAGTATAAAAATATAGCACATTACTGGAAGGATCAGTTAGCAACCTCTGCCGTGATCAGAATTCCCCAGTATTCTTAGAGCAGCAAAATGAATAACCCTGGATTCTGAGGGTCAGATTCCCTGGACTAAAAGGGGAATCAAAAGCACTGACTGGCCAGAGAGAAGCCCATGTTTAAACACAGCATTTTAAATGATTAAGGATCAGAGACCATGTTATTCAGGAAGATATTCATGTATTTGCACCAAAGGAAAAAAAATCTGTTGCTACTATTCAATTGGAAATGTGACCAGTTGGTCAAATAGAGCACTGTTGGACATCATATCAGCACATGGAGGAGAGAGGGGTCAGAATGCTGTATCCGCTGCCAATGGAACACAGGGCTCTTCAATATAATTTGAAGTTACAAAATAAGGTTACGTTGCTGCTTCCACTGATCCTAAATGGAAAAAGTGTTTTTAGCAACTTCCTAAACGTCATGGTGGTTACACACACTGGAATAAATTGCCCAGAGAGGTTGTGGAATCTCCATCATTGGAGATTTTTAAGAGCAGGTTAGAGAAACACCTGTCAGGGGTGTTAGATGGTGCTTAGTCCTGCAATGAGTGCAGGGGACTGGATGTGATGACCTTTGAGGTTCCTTCTAGTTCTATGATTCCATGGTCTCATCACTGAGCTACTGACACATCCTTCTTCCAATAACCATCTCTGGGTGTACAGAGGGATGCATACATTGCTTGGAATGAAGAGTGACACTTGCACTGCACAAATGCTTTCGTCTGTAAAATGTTTAAGAAGTTGGGGGCTTTTGGCTGTGATTGATAACTCATGTAAAAGCAAAGCAGTGTGGTCAAACTCTTGGCAAGCTTCTCTGAATACATCAGCCAATCACCCCAAATCTAGCTAGCAAAAACTTATTCTAGCTCTGGGATCTTCTATCCTCACCACAGGCTTTTAAGTGTGCCAAATACAGGAGGCCCCCAATTTGCGACGCAATCCGTTCCTAGGGAAGGATCGCAAGTCGGGGGTGGCATAACTCAAACCCTCATTTACGATAGGTGCTATGTGGTGAGAACTAGTGCAATCATGTCACATGCAACTTACACCATATTTCAACTGGGGTCTTCAATGGAAAGTTAAATAAATATTAGACCCTCACTCAAACTTCTGTGTAATTATCATATCTGCATTTATCAATTAAAATTTATCACTCCTTTAACTTGGGTAAGTTAATGATGTATTGAGATAGAATTTTGCAAAACAACCATATTCAGGTTGTGGAACTTCTGTAAGAATGGTGTGAAATATTAACCAGTGTGCAAGACTAAAGCTCATAGGAAGTAGAAAAAGTAATTCAATAGGAGCTTGCCTGCATTTATTACCACACTCCGTTTATTCTATAGAAAACATTACAGCTACCCTGCCACTCAGTGAATGTTACCCCCTTTATACTCCAATCTCAGGACACTATCACTCTACTTATGTCTGTTTCATTCCTTCACACATCATCTTCCTGTTCCCTGTGCTCCTTTCTGTGACATCCTTCTCTCTCTCTCTGATTTGCACCTCCTAATCTAGGATGCCCCCTTAGGCTTGGATCGGCCTCTCTCTTCTGAACCTCTTTGAAATATTCTCTCAAAATACAGGAAAGCCTTTCAAGATCCAACTGCAAATTTCTGCACCACCATGTGAAACTTGAGCAATCACCCAAAGTTCAGTGTCTCATCTAGATTGGAAGCTCTTTTAGCAAAGTCCATGTGTACAGCAGAGCATATTGTTAACATTTGAAGATCAGAAAAGGGGCTCTTCTCCCTAGTCTTATTTCATGTATCCTACCCCACTAGATGACAAATTAGCAATTCAAATATCAAGTTCCAAAAGTAGAAGTAGTCTTGGGAGACTGGGAGTGTAAAGTCAGACTCACTCACAACCAGCATCAACCAGAGAAGAGCTGACAAATTAGATGGCAGAAACATATTTTAAAAACATTCAGGTAAAAGCCAACATATGAGTACTTTTGTTAGCATTAGCAGAACTCTACACATAGAAGCAGTAGTTTACAGTGCACAGGCTTATTTCCTTCTCCTGCCCAACCCCAACAAAGTCGGGTCTTACCTGAAGAATTCCAATCACTTTTTTGGCTACAAAAGGACCAAAATGAGATGCCTTAGATAAGCTGACTCCTTTGTAGTCTGCAAGGATTACAATTCCATTCACCTGTGTCTCTTCAGACTGAATGAGTTTTTCTAATGTTAAGTATATGGCACGAATGTTCTCAGTAATTGGATAATTACTTGGTGTCCACCTGTCTAAGGTTATAAAACACTATGGTTATTTGGAAAGTAAATATGACTAATTTTTATAATAAAATAATAATAATATATACACACACACACACACACAGATAGATAGATAGATATAAAAAGACAGATCTAGATATATGTCCCCAAACGATCTATTTTCCAGAGCTCCTAAATTATTCTTTAATACTGACTTAGTTCACAGAAGCATTTCTCAAGCAAGATGCTATATAGGCTAGCCAAATTATTTCAAGGAGCAAAATCCATACTCTTATGAACACCTTACTTTCTCCGGCACAGACTACTCAAAGAGAAATCCTTTCATCTCAGAAAGAAAGCAGGTAAACTGGAAAGCAAAGTATGAAAACAGTTTACAGCAAACCTGGCAGCACTGAGCAGATTTGGGATGTCAGAAGCTCTTCAGCCCACCTTGAACCCCCAGTCTGCTCTCAAACTTGCATCTGGAAGACAGCAGATCTATTGCTAGCTAAGGCTGACTTCACACTGATTTTTTTTCCCCCCAAACCATCAGGCAACCACACCAACCGTCTTTGTATTCTTTATTTTACTCAACTGCAGCCATTGCTAAAACACGAAAAAAGTGATCTACACTGGGCAAACAACAGACAGTAATCCTTTTGCGGGTTAACTTTTCAGATTTCAAAAGGTAATGACATAATTACCAGAGTCTGCAAGGGAGCAAGATAGACTCTGGCACAGTCAGACACACTTCAAACATACAAATAATCTTGTTCCAACCAGGGATTTCAGGCATTACAATACCTGGACGAATGCAGACAATGTGGCGTCCCTCAGTGTCCAAGTGAGGCAATACAGTGACAAAGCCAGATTCTAAGACAGCCTTAACTGCAGATGGTTTCAAGTTATTGAAGACCTCAGGCCAGCTCCTCCTGCAGCTGTGATAGTTCACCAGAAGCTGAAGCGCTCGGTCATAATCAAATTTCCTGGCTCTAAGGAACCTTAGCAAAAAAGCATCATCCAGACATGTGCCCAGGGTAGGGTAATCCTTACACACCATGTCTCGGAGGGCTTGCACATCACGAAGCCTCCATTCAGGTTTTTCCTGCAGTTCTTCACGAGCCTTTGCAATAAGGTCAGGAGATAGTGAGCACACATACTTTGGCTGATCTGGCAGGAATTCATTATCTGATGGAGACCCCACGGATGGGCTTGTTCGGGTACAATCACTTTCTCCTGACATTAGGAAGCAGGAAGTCTGTCCAAAGCAATACACATAACAAATAATCCCCCATATTATCAGTCATAAGGCTTAGCATTTACATAGTAAGTATTATCTCTAATAAACATGTGGGAAAAGTATGGCACAGAGAGGCTAAGTTGCTTGGTTATAGACAGAACTGGAATTCGTATCAGAACCAGATTAGGTGTTCCCATCTCCCTGTCCTTGAATCACATTTACACTCACTATCCTAAGACATTTTTCTGACTAAATGCTTGCAGCAGGAAGTTTTCCCAGCAAAACTGTGTGTAACTGCCAATTAGTATTTATGTCATTTGGGCAGTTAGATACTTTACAGACAGATGAGTAGCATTCCATAAGTACATGTCTTAATTATAGTGGAAAGTACTGCAGTGCACAGCCTGGAGAAGTGTAGTAAATAAACAAATTCTCATTGCAATGGTCTCACAAATATATAGTACATTTTAAACAGCAGATACCTTCAAATTGAAAATATGAATTATGTTGCAGAGTCCTTTACTGCATATGGTGAGTGGATAAGGGACAGGAAGAGGGGAAGAGAATAAAAGATGAAATATTACATTTGAATTATTTCTTGGGGCTTGAGCTGGGACTGGCATTAAGAAAAAACAGGATTCAATTTGTGGCCATTGTGATTCATATGAACCTGCACAGAGCCCTTCTGAGAGATGTGCTGGGGAAGGAAGGATGGGTTTACCAATTACCATTCACAGTTATACACAAGGCTCCCACAGAGCTCCTGGGGAGCTGGCTGCTGTCCTCCGCTGAGAGCATGTGTAACCACTGAAAGTTTTACTAAATTACCTGCTTTTTAACATCCTTAAAATTAACCTTTTCATCTTCTGTACCAGACCCTCCGTGCGATGGCGCTGGATGGGATTTGGCTTATTTTTTCCTGCAACGTGTCTCAGTTAGTCACACCCTAGGGACTCTTTGCAGGACACCAGGCACAGGGCAGACACTAGACACCGAGGCGTCAGCCGCATCTTTTCCCACCTGGGGCTGTCACCCCTTAGGTCCCCACAGCTGGCACCCCTGTGGGATGGGGAGGAGGCAGGTTTCCCTAGTAGTCAGCACTTGCCACTTGGCAGGGCAGACCCGGGGCCAGGCCCCTGCCACAGGTCATGGGTGGGTGTTACAGAGAGACACAGGCTGGAAGCTCCGAGTCCCGCCCCCAGCCTGACCTCCTGCTCCCCCAGATCCTCCCCCCGCGCTGCACTCCGGGGGGGGGGGGGACCCCCCCAACCC